TATGGGACAGAAACTGTCATTTCATTGATTTGAATCCAGAAATACAGGTTGACCCATCCTGAGACTTTCTTTCTTGAATTAATCAAGTAAAAGAAGACTACTTTCTATTATCATTACTATTTTACAAATGTTTGATAATCAAATTGTGTTAGTTCAAACAATGTTTACATGTTGAAGTGAACTACTCATTTTTAAATCAACTGTGAAACAGTAATAACGATTTTTAATCCTCATTCAAAGAAGAAATCAGGTTAATGATGCATTGTCTGATTTTCTGTCTTCAATGAGCAAGGGTGTATGTTGGTCAAAGTTCAAGTTTCGGTCAACTGCAAGTTTACTGAAAAAGAAATGTCATGTTTAACTTTTACAGCAAGATACTAGAGAATTGACTCCACGAAGTCTGAAGTTCTTCATAATATCTTTTGTCTGTTCTTAAACAATCTTAATCTTTTTCCTTGACTTTTCATAACACCTTACATCACAAAACACACCTCTGTTTTGGTCCATCGACCAATCAGAAACTTCCAAATGAACCGGAAATAGAGCTCTTTAAATGTTGGCACTTCCTAGTTAAGTCCGGTCGAGAGTTTGAGAAGAGTCAGCTGATGATGGAGAGTTCTGCAAGAGGTTCCACCTCCAGTTGGAGTCGGGTGGAGAGTTTGCAGCTCCAGTCGTTTGGGAGTAGATGAAGAAGTTCTGCAGTTCTGAAACTCAGCAGTTCCAGAGTTCATGAAGGCTGGAATTCTGGATGCTGATGTAAGAAAGAAAATCAAGCTGAACCAGAGAAGATCTGGGAATTATGAAAGTCTGTTCTGGATGATCTCACGACTCCCGAGGTTTAGCTGTTCTTACGGAGACGCTGAAAAGTGGCTCGAAGTGGAACTTTACGCCGGAACTGACATATCTTCAGAAAGGTAAAAAGTCGATCTTCAACCAAAGTGTACCGTTGGGACAAGCTGGTCCAAAGGAGCGTGCTGTTCTGGTTAAAACAGACAAATTCCCTCACACATCTCTCTCAAGATAAACTTCATCTTTCCATCTTTAAAATTCTTCTATCTGCTAAAAATCATTACAGATATTTTTAGAAATGTCTGAAGCAAAGTTTTTCAATCACCGCCGTGTGGTTGACGTTTGTTGTACTACTGGAAGTGAGAACAATCGCTGTATTGTTTACTTCCTGTAAAACTGATTAATAGGCTGTTGTTATTTTCAATTCTTGCCAAGTAATGTAAATGTGTGATGTGTTAAACTTGATTCTGTTAATAAATGACCCACTGTCGTTGGTGAGTCAAAGATAATTAACGTCTCACGTCCACATTTTATTAAATTCAGATGCACGTTATTATACAGTCCAGAAAAATGAAAGAATCCGTTTTATCTATGAATATATGACAGCATATGTTCATCTACATTCTGGTGGCCTCGTATGGTTCATAAATGGACTGTTGTATTCGTGTAACAATTGAATATCATGTTGGCATAAAAAAAAGTGTAGAGAATCAGCTGCTGTGAAACGCAGCGAGCTGAGCTGCGATGCTTGGAGAAAATACAGCATGTTTGCAGCTAGTGATGCTTTGAAAGCTGATATTGAGAGTCAATGTGTCTGTTTAAAAGCTGAAATGTACGTCTGTTATGTGTAACTGAAGCTGGGTTTGTGTGGAAACGCTATTCTGTTTGAACTGTGGTCCAGACGTGACTCTGGTCCGGCTCGTTTTGACAAGTTCGAACGAGTTGTTTTAAATGGTTTAAAAGACGTTTTGCCACGGAGCGCCGCCTCCGTTAAGCTCAGAGTTGATTCGTTACATTTTTAACAGAAAATAGTGCATATTGACAGTTTAAAAGACGAAAAGTTGACGGACTTGTTCAGGCTAAGGCTAACATGCTAGCTGGAAAAACGATCCGTGATTGGTTGGAAACGGCTGAGTTGGGACGCTGTGATTCGCTGAGAAGTGAGTGACGTGCCTGCGTCACTTCCTCTGAGTCAGCGATATAGTAACCCACCCTGTTGTTGCTCTGTCATTGGTAGATTCAGTCACGTGACCCGGAAATGAAGCTCGTCTTCATAGGGAATTTCAATCTGTTTTTTTTAAAGTGAAATACGCTTTAAAGTTGCATTCTGATCCGCTGCCCGTTTCTTTGAAGCCTAATCGCTGAAATTTTGCCACGTTTGAGTTTGAAATCCGTCACTAAATGGTGTTTATGGACCACGCTAGCCGATGCTAATTTTAAGCTAACAGCTAACGACCGGATATCACCGGATGCCACCTTGAAGTCATTGCGACTCCTACTGGACATCACTAACAGTGTCTGGGTTAAAATATGGTAAATGGAGCTTACTTCTATAGCGCCTTCCAGCCCCCTATGAGGGGCCCCAAGGCGCTTTACAGTACCAGCCATCCACCCATTCACACGCACATTCATACACCGGTGGCGGTAGGCTGCCATGCAAGGCGCCATCCAGTCCCACCGGGAGCAACTCGGGGTTAAGTGTCTTGCCCAGGGACACAACGGCACATGGTGTGGGAAGTCGGGATTCGAACCTCCAACCTTCCGATCAGAGGTCGGCTGCCACTACCACTGCACCACGGCCGCCCAAAATAAAATAGGGTTATACTCCCCCCTCCTGTGGAAACTTGATATCACAGTTTCACTTCGTTTTTAGGTTACTTTGAGTGAAATTAAACGTGTTTACTTTCTGTAAGACGAATTTTTGAGTTAATAAACGTTCCTCAAGCTGAATAATCACTGTTATCTTGCATTTAAAAAGTGATTAAGGTATTTATGCAAAAAGGCATTTACCAAAAACTTTTTATTCACTGGTAATTCCTCATGACAGAGGTGCAAAATAAAAATTAGAAACTTTTTAAAAGATATAGATACAGATATTCACAGAGTAGATAAAGTTTACTCATTTGCTGGAAAGATAATACACGTCTAATTGTTAAATCACTAAATAAGAGTAAATATCAGAAAAAAAGAGACTTTTCTGATTTTATTTTAACACCTAAAACATTACATTCTCCTATTTAATTTTAAATAGAAGAAAATGTCAGAAGAAGAAGGAGAGGTTGACCCTTTCGACTCCCAATCACATGATGACATCATTTTGGGGGCTTTACATATTTTAACAAATTCAATTATTGGTAAGCAATTAGAGCAATTAGAACAACTTGATGAAATTCAAAGAGGGGAAGAACTGAAAAGTTTGGCAGAAGGAGCCACAGTGTCAGAGAGTAAAAAGTCAAGCCAGGAACGGTTAGCAAAAATTTCTCTGCTTCTTAAAGCGGAATTGGATCAACAGTTTGAACGCAATGTCATGCTGTCTAGAACACATGAGAGGGAGCTCTCAGAAATTCAGGCGTCATTACAAGCGCAATCTTATGACAAGATTAGGGATAAAGACCGTGAGTACCAAGCTGCGTGTTCAGACAATGAACAGCTACAACAAGAGTTGCAGCTCGCAAAAAAAGATCTGGAAAAACACAGAGTGGATAAAGAGGTATTACTCGAACAATATATGCGTTTACAAAGTGAATGTCAAACATCACAGGAACGTTTAAAAGCATGTGAGGAGAAACTGGCCGCAGCAACAAATAAAAGTTCTGACGTGGGGCGAGTTTGTCTGGAACTCAGAGAAGACCGTGGACAGAGTCCAGGTCACCCACAACCACCTCAGAAAGATGTTGTTGCACCTCCACATGTGTGGAGAGAAAAACCTCCACCCTCACCTAAAGTGGTAGGAACAGACCTGAACAGGTCTCTTCCACCAAACATGCAACAGTGTGCTGTGAATGTGTTCGAGGCATGTTCTCATGCTAAGACGCCCATAGAGGTGTTTCCTGGTATAAAGGTTAAACCCCACTCCCTAGAAATGGAAGGACGGCGTGCATCGCCTCCTCCTCCTAAAACAGGCGAGAAAAAGCTGTATTTTCAAACTAACAAACCACGTAATGAAGGTGCACGCTGGGACAAAAAGGCTCCTCTTTCAGAGGATGAACGTGATTATCGTAAATGGGATATGCGTAGGACGCAAAGATATGGGATCCAAGAGGACCCATATTATCAGGGGAA